AGTATTTCTAGTTATTTGCTATTGCTTTTAAATAGTACCATGTAAATCATTTGAATGTAAGGCTTGAATGTTAAAAGATATACAAAGAGTATGTCGTTGCCCCGCCTGACAAAGGCGAATTACGTGAATTGGAGTATCCAGATGAAGGCGTTGCTCGGATCCCAGGATGCTTGGGATGTTGTTCAGGACGGTTTTGCTGAACCTGCAACCACCGCAGGATACTCAGCAGCTCAAACCAAGGCGTTGAAAGAGACGCGTGCGAAGGACAAGTCAGCCTTATACACGCTTTTCCGAGCTGTAGACGAGTCCGGATTTGAGAAGATAGCAGGAGCAACGACGTCTAAGGAAGCATGGGACATCTTGGAAAATGTCTATAAAGGTGCTGACCGAGTAAAGCAGGTCCGACTTCAAACTCTACGTGGCGAGTTGGAAGGCATGAAGATGAAAGATTCAGAGGGTGTATCCGAGTTCATCACCCGCGTTCAAGCCGTGGTGAATCAGTTAAAGCAGAATGGTGAGGAATTATCTGAGACTAGAGTTGTTGAAAACATGGTATGTGCAATTGAGGAGTCGAAGGACTTGACTACGCTTTCTGTTGAAGAGCTAGCAGGTTCCCTTGAGGCGCATGAGCAGCGCAAGAAGAAGAAAAAGGAGGAGTCGCTGGAGCAAGCACTCCAGACAAAAGCAAACATTAAAGATGAGAAGGCGCTCTATTCTCAAAATGTCCGAGGTAGAGGTCGTGGACGAGCTGGACGTGGAAATGGCCGAGGTGGTCGTGGCCGAGGTCATGAGGTGAGAAATGAAGAAAGAGCTGAGTCGAGTCAGAGAGGAAGAGGACGTGGCCGAGGTGGAAGAGGCCGGTGGTCAAATCAAACAAATGTGGAATGTTACAAGTGTGGCAAGTATGGCCATTACTCGAGAGATTGCAACTCGGACAAGTGTTACAACTGTGGCCGAGTTGGGCATTTCGCTAAGGATTGCCGAGATGAAAGAAAAGTTGACGAGGCTTCAAACCTCGCTGTAGAAGGAGATGGAGGAGTTCTTATGCTAGCCCATGGTGAAACCAGTTCAAAGAATGAGACGGAGTGGTATTTGGATACCGGTGCCAGTAATCACATGTGTGGTTACAAACACTTGTTTAAGGAGTTGAAGACGGTGGAAGCCGGACATGTCTCTTTTGGAGACGCGTCCAAAATTGAAGTAAAGGGTCGAGGTACGATCTATTTCTTGCAAAAGGATGGACGAGTTGGTACAATCCGGGACGTGTATTACGTGCCCGAGCTCAAAAGTAACATATTGAGCATTGGACAGCTGATGGAGAAGGCTTACTCGGTTCTAATGACAGACCGAGTTCTACTGTTGAAAGACAAACAAGGGCGTCTGATAACCCGAGTTCAGATGGAAAAGAACAGAATGTACAAGCTGAGTCTAAGGAGCATGGAGGTCGGCTGTCTTCAAGCCGGGGTAGAAGATAAGATGGACTTGTGGCATAGACGGTTTGGACACCTTCATTATGGTGGTCTGACCGAGATGATGAAGAAGGACATGGTAGTGGGACTACCGAAGATTAATTCTGAAGGAAGATTTTGCGAGGACTGCGTATTGGGAAAACATGCGAGAAGCCCGTTCCAAAGGATGGCAAGATACCGAGCTAGGCAGCCTCTGGAGTTGATACATACCGACCTGTGTGGACCCATTACTCCGGGGTCTTTCAGTGGTAAGAAGTATTTTGTAACCTTTATTGATGATTTCAGTCGAAAGACTTGGGTATATTTTTTGAAGGAAAAATCCGAGGTGCTAGAGGCATTCAGGAGTTTTAAAACAATGACAGAGAATGGTACTGGAAGATACATCAAGTCGGTCCGCTCAGACCGAGGTGGGGAGTACGTGTCAATAGCTTTCAAGAAGTATTGTGAAGAACATGGGATAAGGCGGTTCCTGACCGCTCCGTATTCGCCCCAGCAAAATGGAGTAGCTGAGAGAAAGAACCGGACTATCCTGGATATGGTCCGATGTATGCTAAAAACGAAGAACATGCCAAAGGAGTTCTGGGGAGAAGCCGTGCATTGTGCCGTGTACGTGCAAAACCGATGTCCGCACTCAAGTGTGAATGATAAAACTCCACAAGAAGCATGGAGTGGTCTAAAGCCATCAGTGGCTCATTTCAAGATTTTTGGTAGTGTTGCGTATGCACACATACCAGATCAATTGAGGACAAAGCTAGAAGATAAAAGTAAGAAGTATGTGTTTATTGGCTATGATGAGAAGACGAAGGGGTACAAGTTGCTGGACCCCGTCAATAAAAAGGTGTTGGTGAGCCGAGATGTAAAAGTGAATGAGGAAGATGGATGGGACTGGAGTAGTCCATCCGGGGTCAATGTGGAACCCGGACTAAAATCAATTGAGGTCGGACAACCTTCGACCCGGATTCCTGAGAATCCGAATGACTCAGATAGTGATGAAGAGCAGAGACAACCGAGATTGAGGAGTCTACAAGATTTGTATGATTCCACCAGTGAAGCACACTTGGTATGTCTGTTGGCAGATTCTGAAGAAGTAAGCTTTGAAGAAGCAATCCGAGATGAGAAATGGCAATCAGCCATGGAGGAGGAAATAAAGGCGATAGAAAAGAACAAGACGTGGGAGTTAGCCGAGCTGCCCAGAGGAAGTCGGCCCATTGGTGTGAAATGGGTCTACAAGAAGAAAATGAACGCTAAGGGGGAGATCGAAAGATACAAAGCCCGGCTAGTGGCGAAAGGGTATAGGCAGAAGGCTGGCATTGATTATGACGAGGTGTTCGCACCCGTAGCAAGAATGGAGACAATCAGGCTGTTGATCTCTCAAGCAGCCCAATTCGGATGGCCGATCTATCAGATGGATGTGAAGTCGGCATTCTTAAATGGAGTACTCGAAGAGGAGGTATATCTGGAACAACCTCCGGGATTCATGAAAGCCGGACAAGAAAGAAAAGTGTTGAGACTGAAGAAAGCTTTGTATGGATTGAAGCAGGCCCCAAGAGCCTGGAACACAAGAATTGACAATTACTTCAAGAAGGATGGACTTGAACAATGTCCATATGAACATGCATTATATGTGAAGAAGAAAGGAGGTAAAATTCTACTTGTTGCTCTATATGTTGATGATCTGATTTTCTTGGGTAATGATGAAGGGATGATTCAAGATTTTAAGAAGAAAATGATGAAGGAGTTCGAGATGACGGATCTCGGTCTGATCTGATGAGGTATTTTCTTGGTCTGGAGGTCAGACAAGACAAATCCAGGATCTTTGTCTCTCAGGAAGCCTATGCAAAAGGAATTTTAGAGAAGTTTAAAATGACAGACTACAACCCGATTTCAACGCCAATGGAACCCGAGTTGAAACTTTCGAAGTATGATGGAGGAGAGAGAGTTGATCCGAGTTACTACCGGAGTCTAGTTGGAAGTCTGAGATATTTGACGTGTACGAGGCCGGATCTGTGTCTGAGTGTTGGAATCATAAGTCGATTTATGGAAGACCCGGGGTACACTCACTGGAAGGCGGCTAAGAGAATTCTGAGATATGTGAAGGGAACAATCTCACAAGGACTTCATTACTCGAAGTCGGACAAATACAAGTTGACGGGTTATTCAGACAGTGATTGGTGCGGAGATGTTGATGATAGAAAGAGCATGGCTGGCTATTTGTTTTTCATGGGAAACACGGCTTTCACGTGGGTGTCAAAGAAGGAACCCATTGTGACCCTGTCTACATGTGAAGCCGAGTATGTTGCGGCATCTTGGTGTGTTTGCCATGCAATATGGCTAAGGAATTTACTAAGCAAGCTGGAGAAAGGGCAAGTCGGCGCAACCGAAATCCGAGTTGACAACAAGTCTGCAATCGAGTTAGCAAAGAACCCGGTCAATCATGAGAGGAGTAAGCATATTGATGTCAGGTTTCATTTCATCCGAGATCAAGTCAAAGAAGGAAAAGTGGAGCTGACTCATGTTGCAAGCCGAGATCAAGTTGGAGATATTTTTACAAAGCCCCTGCCGACGTTGTTGTTTGAAAATTGCAAGAAGAAGATGGGAATGAAGGATGGTAGAGATATTAAAGTTTAAGGAGGAGTTTTGTTGGGTTTTAAACTTTATTTAATTAAAGAAAATAGAAAATGAAGAGTTTTGTGATAAAGGGGTGTGTCTCTTAGGAATTTGTTAGTGGACATTAATGAGTTTAAAGTTTCTAAGAAGTAGTCATTAATGTGTTTAGATTTCCTAAGTTAGTCATTAGTATTTCTAGTTATTTGCTATTGCTTTTAAATAGTACCATGTAAATCATTTGAATGTAAGGCTTGAATGTTAAAAGATATACAAAGAGGTATATTCAGAGAACTCCTTGTGTGTTTGAAGTGTTTGAGAGAAACACCATTAGAAGACCTGCGATTCACAAATACATCTATATCATGTTGTTGACTAAATTTGAACATGATGCAAAATCAAAACATAAAGTGGGGAAAAATTCAGTAAGTATACAAAATGCCAGTGTTAAACATATAAAGCTTCCCTTTTATTCCATTAATTCATCAAACATAATAAATTGATTGTTGGAACTGTCCCAACTCCCAACATAAGTTTATGAATGTTATTCAAATTCTGTTGAAATCAGGTAACGAAACCTTAATCCTGGACTGGTATTTTAAAGTTCAATTTGCGTTCTTGGCTTCAGAAGTAAGACAGATATCAAAATATTGCTTCAATAGTTGAATTGTATACATATAGATGCTTGAAGAAAATATGTATTGATATTATAGTATGAATTTAAAAAAGAAATCAAGAATAAAGTTAAAGTTCACTACTTTAACGTTCTCTTTGTTACTATGGGATATGTTATAATTGAAGAAATCTCTAAGACTTAGTCGCAGAAGTTAATGTTCACCTTAAATAAGGCTTCTGAAGCATCTAACTTATCAACGTTCTTCACATACACAGTAAATCAAAAAGTAATAATGAAAGTGAAGAGAAAAAAATAAAAAACTTCTCAACTCAAAGATCATGTAATCACTATGATATATATATTATATTGACTGTAAAGAACCTTTATATTATTCTCTAACATTGACCATAATGAAATAAAAGGACATGGAGGGAAAACGGGAAAAAGAGAATTTCGTGAAGAAAAAAAAAAAAAAAACTGCTTGATGAACAGATCCATGCACAAATTAACAAATACATGCATGATTAACAAGGTTGATTCAGGAATTGTGTTTTACCCTTTTAGTTCAAGGGACTATTTTCATGCACAAAAGGTTATATCAGTTAAAAATGCCATCAACTCACCTTACAAGCAGCATTAATATTTGCAGAGATTTGTTTCAAAGCCTGCGCATTTTGCTCTAATAGCTCACCTGCAGGACATCCAATTGCTGCAAAAAGCACAGTGCAAAGTTTAAAGGAGATTCTCAAACATTCGAAAGGGAAATGCAAATACAAGAGATGCCTAAAGGTAATGATAAAAAGGCCTACAAGAGCTAAATCATGTATGCAAACATGAAAAAATTCAAAGCTGTTAAAGGAACCAACCTTTGGAAGAGATGCCATCATCATTGTCCATCACAATCATTGGAGCATATGGGGAAACATTGGGTCGAGCAGCAAAAGCAGATGATTTCGCTGCAGGATGAGAAACTTTTTCCTGGGAAAAAAAATCCCAAAACATGAATATAAATATAAAGAAAGAATCCAGAGTTTCCAGTATAGCATAAATGCAAATATATTTTTTTGGCTTCCTTGTTGCCACATTTTTTTTTTTTTCTTGGTATTTCTCTTAGCCAACATGTTAAATTGTTCGTTATTTAACAAGTCATAAAATTGAGTAAAGAGAAATGTCATGCTAGCTTTTTCCTGGTTAGAACATTTGACAAATATGATGCTTGGTCTATTTCAAAAGCAAAATAATAATAATAACTAGCATGATGAAATTCTCCGGCGAAATAATATAGCTTTCCCTCAATTGAATGTGTGATTATATGTGGGCTTAAAAGTAGGGTTGCCAGTGTTAATGCATGAACAAGCAAGAAAAAAAAAATAGAGAGAGAGTATTGAATCCAAATAAAAATTAAGGTCTAGACATCAACATGCATAGGGAAGTGAAAGACATTAAAAAACACATCTCCAATGGCATGCACAAGAGTGAAACACAAAACACTCACTCAGTTAATAAATGAAAACAATACCTTTTTAGCTTTGCTTTTCCTTGTCAAAATATGACCTTCCTTCCTTGTCTTGCCATTTTCTTTTTTCTGTATAGAAATGCTGTTGGGTCCTCTTTGGAACTTGAAAACAAAATATTAAATATTTGTGATATAGGTTATCCGATGTCTAAGAATCTTATCCAAGCTTAACAACAGGTTAAATCATTCACTAATGACATAAAAGACTTTAAGACAAAAATGAACAGGTATATGTTGGGATAAATTTTAAATGTCTGTTTTTTAGCAGTTTTGGTTTTTTAGTTTCTTGTGTCAGTTAGAATATTAATGAGTCAGTCAGTTAGAATATTAATGAGTTATTTATGTCAGTTATAAAGTAATGAGGGTGTTATGTGTGGAGTTATGTTGGTCAGTTTTATAGCTTATAAATAGCCTTTGATAGTTTGTATAAAATGTAGATCAGTAGATATATAGATACACAAGTCTGGTTGTCTCTTGCATCTGTGTGGATATTAAATTCTATGAGTATATACGTAGCTTACATCCATCCACTTGACTGGCTGTGATTCTTCCCGCATCCACTTGTCTCGCAGTATTACTTCCCGGACAGTCTTATTAGGCAACTGATTTGCTATGAGATTATAGCGTCTTGGCATGGAAGGCACTGATGCAAACCTACAAAGAAAAAATTGGAATTTTCTTTACAATAAGAAGTAAATATAGGACTTATCAAATACACGTTCCTAGTTAGGGAACCGCTGCAAATAAGAAAACAATATGATAACAATGAATTCGGAGTAAAATATAGGCACAGAATTCCATAAAAGCTTGTGCATGCAAGCAACGAATTAAATATACATACTGACTGACAACGATATTTGATTTCAAACTGCAATAGCAACCACTATAAGTTGGTTCTAAGAGACAAACTCAATATAATACAATAATAATAAAAAACAACAGCCAGTTTCTCTCAAATTAAAAGCATAACTTTTTTTTTTTTGGATTACATTAAAAGCATAACTTGTTCCCCACAGGTTTCAATTAGTACGGCCTTTTAAGGCTCATGCAGTATCTGAAAAACCAAACAAAACCTCACCAAAAACAATATAATATGGATACAAACACGTTCTCAATTTCCAAAAATTAAAGTTCAAAGTTTAAAGAAAATCAAAGCCGAACATTAATTGTCGCACTTGATAAATCGATATCAAAATAAACAACAAAAAAAAGTTAGAAGTCTAACTCAAATTTCCTTCCTACACCACGTACGAAGATAGAAGCATCTAGAGTATGTGTGTGAATTGTATTCTTATCATGATGAGTTGTACATCTTATCTTCACCAACCAAACAAGTAGCTTCATGAAGCCTAATCTAGTAATCTACGAGTGAAAAGAAAGAAAGTTTGTAAAGAGTGTGAGAAATATTAATGCTATATGAAATAAAGATTTTTTCATATTTATCTTGACTTTATATATTAAGCAACCTAAAACCTAAATTCTAAACCCTAAAACTCTAAAACCCTAACCCTCACATTAAACCCTAAACTCTAAAACCCTAAAACCCTAACCCTAGTATAAAATAATAAAACCTAAACTCTAAACCCTAAACCCTAAACCCTAAACCCTAGCAATGTACTTGTGAGAGTAGGACCATTTTAGGCTAAGTTTTTGGCATGTGTCCTCCTCTTATCCCAAAAAATAAATAAAAAATAACGCATGATTGTTCCCCCCACAGGTTTAATTGGTACGGCCTTTTAAGGCTCATGCAGTATCTGGAAAACCCAAGAAAACCTCTCCAAAAACAATAAAATATGGATACAAGCACTTACGTTCTCAATCTTAGAAAATCAAAGCCAAGCATTAAGTCGCACTTGATAAATCGATATCAAAATAAAGAAAAGAAAAACTGAAGCGACTAAGCAAGAAAGAAAAGAAAAAAGAAAAATTGCTATGAATTAGCGAAAAGAATTACTTACTGAATGAGTCCTTTTTGAAAAACAGCCTGTTCTTCCAAGGTCCAATCCAGTGATATGCCAGGGTTGTGAAGAATGGCGCGCTCTGTGGCCGAATTCCGGTTGAACGATGAGACAACATGCATGGTCTGCTGCTGCTCCTGGTGGTTACCATAAGGGTATGCCATTTGAAGGGTATCTGAATTCACAATTGGTTCCCGCCAATTAACGCAAAACAGCAAAATAATTTTTTACGAATAAAAAGAGAGCGAAATTGAGAGGGGATCCTTGCAGAGTTCCCCAACCTTGCAAAGTAATTGGAATGATAAGTAAAAAATTTAGTAGTACGTAGGGGTGTTAGTGCCCGTTTAGATGAGCTTTTTTTTTTCTTAAAAAAATTGCTTTTTTTTTTTTAAATAAAAGTCCTTGCGAGAATTTTTAGATGTTTGGATAATAACTTTTAAAAAAAGCAAAATTTAAAATAAAAGTTAAAATGCTGTTTTTTTATAGCTAGTAGTTGGTTGCTTTGGGAAAAAGCAGAAATTAAAAGATAATATAAATATGTTTTTTTGGAAAAAAGATAATATAAATTTTTAAAATACAATTTTAACATTATCCTATCATACCTATTTTATCTCTCCTTATCCTACAATCATGCTATTTTATCTCTCCTTTATTGTAATTTTATATATATAAAGTTCTTTTTTTATTTTAACATCCAAACAGCTTTTTTTTGTAAAAGTGATTTTCAAATGATACATCCAAACATAAAATAACTTTATCTTTTAAAAAATGTTATTTTAAAAAAAGCAATGCATAAAAAGTCATTTTTTTAAAAGCTCATCCATTGAATGGGTTTTTATTCCTAAAAAAGTGGCTTTTTGTTTTAAAAAAAAAAAGTCCTTTTCAGAATTTTATATGTTTAGATAGTAACTTTTTAAAAAAGTAAAATTTAAAATAAAAGTTAAAATGCTACTTATTTTTTTAGCAGTAGAAAGCATTAAATAATATAAGTTTTTAAAATATAATTTTAACTCCATCATATCATATCTATTTTATCTCTAGCATTAAATATGGAGAATCATAACCATATAAAAGGTGAAAGCATTAAATGTGGAGAATCATAACAATACACATATCATTATTGCACACAACAACTTTACATATGATTTTACCTTTACATGATTAGTTTTCTAAATATATTATTCTCAATTCTAGATAGTGTTGTGTTATCGGATATTAATCTTTAATAATTTCTAATTTTTTTTAAAAAATAAATATAATATAACATGATAATACTAAGGGTTTCAAATTTCAAACTTTGTTATTATAATTTTACCCTTAAACAAAATTGACATCAAATAAAAGTTAAGATTTTAGTAACAAAAAAATTGATTTATAAAACTTCATTATAATATTATCTAATTACTCTTATACAAGAAGGGGAAAATATTTGTCATTTTAAATGACATAAAGTTATGTAATTTTAAGAGAGAGATAGACACAAAATAATATTTTTTATTTAAAATTTAAATTAAAAAAATCCACTTTCTTCCCCATGATTTTTTTCTTATGTCTATCTCTCTCTTAAAATGAAACAAGTCATTTAAAATGACAAACATCAAACCCATAAAAGAATTAACTTCAGTTAAAAAGAAACTTTTTTTTTTGAGATCTAAAAAGAAACTTCAAAATAGATTCAAATGGATCACTTAATAATAGATTGAAGTAAGTAAAATCTACAACTATGACTAGCTAAAACAAAATGAGATAATTATGAAGTGAAATTTTTTTTCTTACCTCACATCATTGATGGACGAGATCTGAATTGCTAATAGCTAGAATCAATGTTGTTAAAATAGAGATTTTAAGTAAAATCGAGAGGGGATTAAAAAATCATAAAGCGTTAAATCGTAATGTAAAAAAATCGTAAAAAATCATAAAAACATATTAGTAAAATTGTTTTGATGAAAAAAAATAGTAAAAATGTAAAATCGTAGTGATAAATCGAGATTTTAACAACTATGTCTAGAATCACATCATTGAAGAGATCCAGCATTTCACTACACCACAAGGTTGCGTGGTTGGTTATCTAGTTCAATCCAGCATTGCAAATACTTCAAATCGTTCAAGTTCAATCCCATCTTGAAAATAGGAAGTTCTCTTTACCTGCTTGTTAATTGGCGCAACAACATCATGTGGGAAATGGCTTTGGTATGATTTGGTTACCAATACAAGAGTTTCCCGTGAAGGCACTAACTTTTAAAAAGAAATGATACTACCAAATTTTTATACTATTTTCTTTCTTTTATTTAACTTTTTTTTCTAATTCAATAATAATTGGAAAGATAGTAGAAAAATTTGGTAGCATGTAGGGGTGTAACTAGGGGTGATAAACGAACTAGGGTTCTTTCTAGGTCTTTGGCTCGGCTCGTGAAGGCCTGAGCTTACATGTCTAAAATTGGTTGTTGGAAACAAGCTTGGACATGTATAAAAGCTCATTTAATAAAAAGGCATCAGGCTACAATTCAAAAGCTCGGCCTTAGAGCATCTCTAGAATATTAATTTTTATTTTTATTTTAAATTTTTTATACTACATATAATAGTCTTCTCTCTCCTCAATCCATTTAACCCATTTTTTTGGTTAAACAGACTTTTTGAATGATTTTGTTCTATATTATGTTATTTAGATATACATTAAATTTATGAAATTACTAGTGCTGTTGATTATATATTCTTTTGGATAAATTTTTGTTGTCTTATTTTTTATAAACAGGCTAACAACAATCAGACTTTTATTTTTTTGTAAATAAGTCAAGTAACAGGCCGATAATTATATTCATAACAGGTAAAAAGCTTGTCAGACTAACATATTTAAACACAGACTTAGCCTTTTAAGACCAAAACTCGGCTCGGCTCGGCCCGTTAACACCCCTAGGTGTAAGTATCTATTTGGATGAGTTTTTATTCCTAAAAAGATTGTTTTTTTTTTTAAAAAATAAAAATAAATAGAAGAAGTCATTTTGAGAATTTTTAGATAGTTAGATAGCAACTTTTTAAAAAAGCAATATTTAAAATAAAAGTTAAAATATTGCTTTTTTAACCCAGTAGTTAGGTCCCGTTTCGATGAGCTTTTAAAAAGTGACTTTTTTTGCATTGCTTTTTTTAAAAGGTAAATGTTTGGATGTATGATCTGAAAATCACTTTTATATAAAAAAAGTTGTTTGGATGTTAAAATAAAAAAAACATTTTTTATATATAAAATTACAATAAAAAGAGATAAAATAGCATGATCGTGGGATAAGGAGAGATAAAATAGGTATGATAGGATAAGGTCAAAATTGTATTTTAAAAATTTATATTATCTTTTTTCCAAAAAAAAAATTATATTATCTTTTAATTTTTTCTTTTTTCAAAAGCAACCAACTATTGGCTATAAAAAAAAAAGCAACATTTTAACTTTTATTTTAAATTTTGCTTTTTTAAAAAGTTGTTCCAAACATCTAAAAATTCTCAAAATGACTTTTATTTAAAAAAAACAACTTTTTTAGGAATAAAAGCTCATCTAAACGGGCACTTAGTTACTTTAAAAAAAGCCAAAACTAAAAGATAATATAAATTTTTAAAATATAATTTTAATTTCATGCTATCATATCTATTTTATCTCTAGCATTAAATATGGAGAATCATAATCATAAAAAAGTTGAAATTATTAAATGTGGAGAATCATAACCATACACCTATATTGCACGTACATTCTACCTTTACATAATTAGTTTTGTGATATATTATTCTCAATTCTAGACAGTGCTGTGTTATCGGATATTAATCTTTAATAGTTTTTAAATTTTTTAAAAAATAAATATAATATAGCATGATAATATTAAGGGTTTCAAATTTCAAACTTTGTTATTATAATTTTACCCTAACACAAAATTGACATCAAATAAAAGTTAAGATTTTAGTAAACAAAAAAATTGATTTCCAAAAAATTCATTATAATATGATCTAATTACTCTTATAAAAGAATTAACCTCAGTTAAAAAGAAACTTTTTTCTTTGGAGATCGAAAAAGAAACTTCAAAATAGATTCAAATGGATCACTTAATAGATTGAAGTAATTAAACTGTACAACTATGATTAGCTAAAACAAGATGAGATAATTATGAAGTGAAAAAAAAAAAAGTTTTACCTCACATCATTGATGGACGATCGCGATATCTGATTTGCTAATAGCTAGAATCACATCATTGAAGAGATCCAGCATTTCACTACACCACAAGGTTGCATGGTTGGTTATCTAGTTCAATCCAGCATTGCAAATACTTCACATCGTTCAAGTTCATCCCATCTTGAAAATAGGAAGTTCTCTTTACCTGCTTGTTAATTGGCACAACAACATCATGTGGGAAATGGCTTTGGTATGATTTGGTTACCAATACAAGAAGCATTATTCGCAGCAAAGGAAACAATATCAATAATGACTTTGGTATGATTTTTTTCGTATGAACTTTCACCTTCCATTGTGAAAAGTTTTAAGGTGTTTAGGCTGGATTACCCATTATTTATGGGGGAAATGACTTACTTCTTGAGTATTCCTATAAATATTGTTCTTTTGATTTAGTGATTAGGAAGAATATCTCATGAGATTTTATCCCTTTATCATACAATAGACTATTTTCAAGTACTTGAAAAAGCAAGGGCATTAGAAGGAATATAAGATAATAACTATTTTGTTGGCTCGTATAAGTTAGAAGCTAGTCAAGCCAACTTGCAAGTAATTTACAACTAGATTCGTTTTATAAATCAACATCAAGCTAGATGCAATTTTCGAAAAACAGTAAGAGTAGGGTCTATTTTTTAAGTTGTAAAATTTGAATTAAACGTGAAAATCAATGACGTTATTAAGGATTATTTTAATTGTTTTGTATTTTTTATGTGGGAACTACAATTCCATATATTCCCAATCCTTATTTTTAAGCGGTGTTGTATTTTTAATTAGTTTTGGTATGGTTTGTTAAGCTCAAAGTCTTATCTCGGATCAATCAGCCTGGTTAAGGCTATTAATCCTTTAATAATTAAAAAATAATTAAAATAATATTATTTTATTGTTTAAAATCATTAAAATAATAAATTATTTTTTATTTAAAATAAATAATATAATATAGACTTATCTGTAATTTATAGG